ACCCCTCCAATAGCCTCTGCAGCCCCCAGCCCCCCCCCCAAAGCCACGCCAGATGAAGGGGCTACAGCTTCAGCCCCATCCCATGACCCCGCAGCCATGTCACACCTCAGCTGGCACATGCCACCGACTGCCTCCACGCTGGAACAGAACACCCTAAGCAAGACCTGCTGGCGTCAAATGCTATATGGGCCGGGCATCCTTGCAGGTCCCCGGCTGGCCGTGCCTGAGGCGGCTCCACAGTAGTAATTAACATGACAAACATTATTATTATTATTAGTCATAACAGCTGGGCCCCAGCTAAGCCTGCTGGCAAGCTGGCCCACTGACAGCCAGAAACGCCAATGCACAGCTCTGTGTTTGGTGCCAGACCAGGGGGTGGCAAGGAAAAAGACTGTCATGGGTCCCCCTCCTTCCCCCCGCAGTGTCTCCGTGCCCCATCTGCCTGCAGACAGGGGAGGAGTCGTCCATGCCTCAGGCTGATCTCCCCGCCCAGCCCTGCTTAACCACCCCAGGAAAGATCTGAGCCAAGACCAGACCGAGGACCTCAACACGGGCTGGGTACCAGCATCCGAGGCAGGACACGCAGCTCCGAGTGACAGGGATGAAGCACTGCCCAGGGGGACGCCCAGGGCAGCTGTGAGAAACTCATCGCCGCTTAGGTAATTAAATTAATTTCACAGCTACTCACTTTTCTCCCCCAGCTCCCCACCCCAGACTAAAATTAGCCAGACAGTACATATGAGTCAGCCTTCAAGAGGTTAAGACCAAACGGCTGTGAAAATGCCAGCCCCTCCTGCAAAGGTGGGGGCTGAAGCGAGGCAGGAGCCAGGGACTCGGGGAGGGGGGACAGCTCACGCGGGAGCACGTGTGCAAGCATACGTGTGCCACAGCGAGGTATGTGACCATGGGCATGTGTTCGAGTCGTATGGTTCAATATGGGAAAAAAGAAAGAAAAAAAAACCTGGGAAGTTTCAGGCAGGGTTTTTTTAGGTTGAAAAAATCAGACCTTGCCTCCTAGTGTTTTCTTGGAAGAGGCCCTGGATATGGGAAGATGGTGGGAGAATAGAGAGGCCTTGAGTCACCGGGGGGTGGGCAGTCATTCGGGAATCCCAAATCTGAGCAGGGCTGTGCTCCAGCCAGAAATCCCCAGCACTGAGATTGCATCGGGCTGTTTTAAAGCCTCCTTGGAAGTGGCAGCCAGGCCCTGAGCTCCTGCACTGCCGGAGCATCCCCCGGTCCCAGGAGCAACTGAGCAGAGCCCAGTGGGGCAGGGATCCTCGTGGAGCATGTGGCTGGGTGCAGAGGGTGTTAAGCCAAAGATTTGTTAAGCCAAAACACCTGTCCCTGCTCAGGACTGCAGATTCAACCCCCAAAAAACCATCATGCTATCCAAGAGGAAGAAGGACAAAAGCAGGGCAAGAGACTGGCGGTGGCCACTTAGCCCGGCCAGTGTGGGATCACCAGACATCCTTTAATGGACCTAAGAAGCCATCGCTGAAAAATCAGCTCTGGAAACAGAACATCTTCTTCAAGCAAACACTTCCTCCAACATTACACAACGTTCGCGTTTGGGTTATATGCATTTTGTGGAACTCCGGGGGAGAAACACTGACAGGTCCCGGGGCTGTGGGAAGCATTGCAAACTCACCGAGAAAAGACATCATCTCCCCAAAACCCATCTTGAACACATAGTTCCCCATCGCGGCCCCGAGGGCCCAAAGTTTCATTAAAGAAGAAAGCAAAACCACACAACAACCGTTAGATAGCAGGCGGCACTCCGGGGAATTGCAGCCGCTCCCGAAGCCTCCATCCCCCTGGAAGATGTGACACCCCGGAGCCCGCAGTGCCCCCACCATCGGCAGAGCCACCCCCCAGCTACCGTCCCAGCTCAGCCTAGTCCTCGGCATCCCAGGAGAGGCACAGCCCAGGGATGGGAGAGGTGGGGGAAATTGGGCAGCCTCCCGATCGGCGGATGATGCACACTGGCTGCCAGCGCTGTGCCGCTGCCCGGCTGGCTGAGCCGGCAGCACGCTGGTGGCCTCTGCGCCTGGTGACCTTTTGTGCTGCACTTTGGTTTACTTTTGCTCCCAACAGCAGCAGCAAAGCCAGAAGGGGAGGGCAGAAGCCCAAAACCAGGGCTGCTGCTCCCAGCCCCCCACCAGGCTCATCCGAAGCTGGCCATGACGTGCCAGCATCCCCAGCGTGCCGCCGGTGAGGATGCCACGCACTGACAAACAGCTCTCAGCCCCCATGGACGATCGCCACCCAATGTGACAGACCTCCAGCTCCAATTTAGACACTGGGGGAGCCAACCACGACATGAGGCATGACGTTCCCTTCCTTGAAAGGGAGCGGTACCGGCAAGACTCAAGCTCCTACATCCCTGGGGGCCACTGCAAGGGAGGGCTGCTGGTGCAGCCAGCCAGAGCCTGCTCTGAGCAACGGTCCCAACAGTGGGGATGAGCAGGGAAGAGAAAGACAGAGAAAGAAAAGCCTTTCTTACCTTCTTCAGAGCCACCGCCCGCCTCCCCTTCTAGCTCTGAGAGACGGAGGGGCAGGGGAGCGATGGGAGCAGGGAGAGGAGGAAGAAGGGAGGTGCGAGACAGAAAGAAAGAGAAATCCAAGTTAAGCAGCTTTGCCTTAGTCAGACAGGGGCACACAGAGTGCAAAGGAGAGCCCCACACCTCCCCGACACTGCATCTCAAACCGAGCTCCTGGCTTCGGGCACCCCCAGGGTCCACCTGGGCATCCCAGAGATGATGTCCAAACCCCAAGAGGCTGCTTTCAGGTGGGGAAGAGGGAACAAAGGGGAGCCACTACAAAGGGCTGCTCCAGGAAAGCCAGCAAGCACCAAAGAAGCATCAGCTCACCCTTGGGGGCAAAGCGAGAAGGGTCTCACTGGGTGGACTCAGCCAAGCCGTGCTCCCCAGGCTCAGCCAGGTTTTGGGGGTGTTACACTCAGCCCTGAGATGGCCCAGGAAGGGTCCCAGGTGCTGGGGAGCAGCGAGGTCTGGCTTGGCAGGCTGCTCTGGGACATGTCCCCAGGAGAGTGGGGCCTTTGCACCTGGAGACCGTTCTCCGGGATGGAGAGGGCTCTGGATACTGTTCCGGCTGACAGGCTCAGCTCCCAGAGAGCAAACCCTCTCCGGCTGTGCTGGGGAGAAGGGATGGAGCAGGTGAGGGAGGGAGGAGTATGAGGCTGGGGAGGAGGCAGAACCCTCAGGGCAGCACCAACATCCTCCACCTTCACACAGTCCCAGAGTCCCCATGGGAGGTGACAAGGACCCCAGGGCTACCTGGCCCCAAAAGGGAGGCAGAAGTGCCTTCTCCAGCCAGAGGACCCTTCCAGGGGTATCCTCACGGATGCCCCCCTCCCAAACACCACCTGTAGCCCCCGTGCCCGCACTCACCTCCCACTGGATGCAGCAGGATCTCGGCTGGGTTGTGGGGTTTCAGCCCTAGCGCTGAGAGCGGGGTCTTGGCCAGGCCAGGGGGAGAACGCACTGTCGGCATGGATGATACAAGAGCATTAGTGGAGGGGTGGGAGGCGAAGCTTCAGAAAGGCCCCATGACCCATCCCACCCACCAGCTGCCATCAGGGACTGCCAGGAAGAGCCCTTGTGTGAAGTAGCACCCCGTGGAAGGGCACCAATCCCCCTCTCCATTTGGGGATGCACACAGGGAGGGAGGTGCCTGGGAAGAAGCAGTCTGCCCCATTGCGGGGCTGGTAGGATGGAGAAAGGGGGCAAGTCCTACCAGGGCAGGCCCAGACCCCATCTCCCAGCAGCATCCCCATGAGGGAATGGTCCCACCATAGGCACGAAGCCTCTTTCTTTGCCCATGTGCAAGCAGCTGCCCCCCCAACCCCACAGTCACAAACCTTAACCCCCCTCTGCCAATCTGTCTGTCTGAGCTGGGACCGGGCTGTCCCGGAGCAGCTCATCACCCCCACGAAAGGGACAGCAGGACTGCCAGAAAAACCCCCACCCTCCAGACCAGCTCGACAGGTGGGTGAGGATGTTCACACAGGGCATGTTCCCTGAGGGGTGGCAATGCAAACATGAGGTCTGTACCCCTGTGCCCATACGTACATACCAGGAGGAGCTGCGTATGTATGTATGACTATGGTATGGATGCACCAGCAGTGCAGGGCGGCAGGGTTTCACGGGGCTGGGTGGACCACCCTGAGCCAACTGTGCCTCCTCTCCCCTCCTCCCCCCCGGGTTTGACCCATCTCCCTGATGCTGCATCTCCCCGGGGGAGACCTCCAGGTCTCACCTCCAGCAAAAGGGACTGGAGGGCATATCCCTCCGTCAGCATTTGAACATCCCCGACTGGTGGTGCGGGCACAGGGCCCATAGTGAAGCCAGGAGGCGGCGGATGGTGGGTGCTCCAGAGGAAAGCCAGACCCTTGCCCCGAGGCCAAGTCCCCCAGGCAGCCTGGAGCTGGAGCAGCCGAGCAGCCGAGTCCCTGGGAAACCGAGATGGCAGCACCTTCCCCAGCGGGTGTCCGATTTCCCCAAATCTGGTCTGCTGCAAGCCGCAGTGTCAGCTCACGCCTCTGTTGGCTGATGAATGGCAGGGTCCTCCTCCTCCGGGACCACTGTCTCCCCATGGAGGGAAATCTCTCCTGCATCCTCCCCCCCCAAGGGGGCACTTTGGCAAAGCCTGCAAGCTGCAGCTTCAAACCTCCGGGTCCGGCACTGGCCAGGAAGCACTGCCTCCAGGCCACGTCCCCAGCCAGGCTGTTCCCGTCACCTCTGTAAGTGACTCATCTCCCAAAACGAGCCAAGGAGCTGCTGCCCTGGGGCCAAGCTCTCCGGGTCCCCCGAACAACGGGGCCATTTCGGAGCTGCCAAATGCCCCAGGGACGCTCTGAGATAGGGCTCAAATGCCAGCGGGTTGCAGGGGACGAACAGCAACAGCGCAGGAGGAAACAGCCTCAAGCCCCATGGGCTGAGCTACGGGGAGCAGGCGGCCCCGTTGTGACCAGGACATGGCATCAGAGGGGGCTGCGCCCAGCCCGAGCATCCCCAGGCCTAGAGCATCCCTCAGCATCCAGCCTACAAAAGTG